GTCAACATTGTCACTGATCCCCATCTCAAATGTCTGAAGTGACCTAATGAGTTCATCAACCTTCAAGTTGCAGATATCATGAGCTTCATCTATAGCAATCACTTTCATTGTAAACCTTTTAGGCAAGGATATGAGAATATTTCTCACCAGCTTTTCTTCTGACATCTTTTCTCCCAATGCTCCTGAGGTGTTGGAAATTTCCAAGATGTTCATGTGAAACTCATGAATGGTCTCATCTTCCTTCATTCTTAGATTCTCAAATTTGGTAGTGAGCATCTGAAGTCTTGACATTTTTACTTTGGATGTACCCTCATGGGTGGTTTTGAGAGTGTCCCAAACATCCTTGGCCAGTTCACATTGATGTACCAGTCTGAATATGTTTCTATCAATTCCATTGAACAAGGCATTCAATGCTTTAGAGTTACCCAGGGCTAACTCTTCTTCTTCTTTGCTCCATTCTTCCTCAGGTTTCAGACTAGTCGTCCCATCTTTCCCAGTTATGGTGGGATGGTTCCATCCTTTGTCAGCAGCTCTCCAAGCTTTATTGTCCAGTGACTTCAAGAAGGCAATCATACGAGGTTTCCAGTAGTCATAGTTTGATCCATCCAGAATAGGTGGTTTGTTCCCAAATCCTCCTTCCTTGTCCATAGCGCCAGAAAATAATATCCCTAGATCTCACCCAGAAAGACAGGCAGGGTGCCTGCTCTGATGCCAATTGAAATTCTGGCAACATATACTTAATGTCACAGTGAATGTTATGACACCGTATTTGACAAATTGTACACAAACTAAACAGTAATTTAAAAGACAGTAAAGAACAATATCAATTGTTAACCCAATTCAGTGTATAACAACACCTACATCTGGGGGCTACCAAGCTAGGGAGGAAATTCACTATAAGAGGTATTAATTTAGGAATAAACCAACCAGTTTATCTCCTTCACTTAAGACCTACCCAATGCAACTTCAATCTAAGTCCTACTTAAACCTGAGTTCCTACTCACTCCCCCTCAATCACAGCAGTGATACTAATCTACTGATTAATAAGATTACGAAGACATTCTTCAATACACACACTTGATTTTGCTTTAAAGCTTTAATCAAGAGACACAACACCGGTGCTTCAAAGCTTTGAGTGATAAACAACCCTTACAACCAAATCCTACTCCAAGTCACTTATCAAGTGATAATTGCTTGGCTCACAGTAATTACTAAAACTATCACAACTACAAAATATCTTATTGATCATCTCTAAAAAGCACTGCACACCATTAGGATTCGTGAGAAATATATATGCAGTCTATTCTTCATTTTGGGCTTCCATAAAAATAGCTAGGGTTAACCAAAGTTAACCTAAAGACTTGGTCTTGGGCTTTCATCATAACAGATTAGGGTTAAGCAAGGTTAACCTAATATCCACGTAAGCATCTGATCTAGTCAATATACTTCAACTCAGAATAGCACACCAGATTCCTGAAAATTCTCAGGAACAATAAATCTGCACAACAACTTGATCAGTACAAGATGTCTTAACATTGGTTATGACATCATGTATCCTGCTCACTGATTTTGGTAGAATTCAGTACATATGATCATAGCTTAATCATCATGATAGTCACTCATACTGAGTTGTTCCTGTAGAACATTCCTTCTGCAGAATTTGTCTTTATCCCAGAATGTTATGACATCAGTCATGACATTCGCAAATCTGGTTTTACCAAAAATTAATGCCAACAAGCAAACACTTACAGTTTTAATATTGCTGTCACTCCTTCTTACGCAACACAATTGTCTAATTCATATGAAGAAGTTGATAGAAATGATGTGCATGTTACTCGCAACTATCATCAAGAAGGGATATGGGGAAATTAACAAGTAAGTATTTTATATTCTTCATTCTTAATTTATTGTTTGTTATAATTTCTAATGATGCTATTTAATTTTTAACAATTATTAATATTTGAAAATTATATGTGTTTAAAGTGAAGACACCAAGAGATGAGACCTCAAGACAACTAGATAGTATAACTTGATATAATAATGAGTACATTGTAGATTATTTTGTCTCAATTTTAGTTTTTATGTACTATACAAGGTTTGGTTCATAATGAAAATGTGTCATTGATGTAATATAATTTTTGGTCTAATTCAATTCAAAAATTGGTGTATTGATGTTTCTGGTATGATACGAATAAGAAATATCCAGGTTACAAAATTGGGAATTCTGTAGAATTGAAAAAAATATTTTTAAAAAAACAAAAATTATATCACAACGGTTATTAAATCAACCGTTGTTATAAAGAGAGCGCTATCCAGAGTAATAAAACCCAAAAATAGAGTTGCTTGAATTCGAACTCAGGACCATTCAATTATTTCACGTTTCCATAAACCGTAGTTATAAGTTACGCGCTATCTAACTTATACCACCGGTCCCACGTCCGTTGTGGTAACCAACATACATACAATCACGTACTACCTAACAACGAACGCGCTACTGTTATTATACGCGTTTCCCAATCATTATTGTATGTGTTTTCTATAGTAGCAAGTGATTATTGAAAGAGCATAACAAGACTTTCATAAGTTGGTTTAATGAAATGATTTCTTAATGTAAAGTTTGGTTAATGAAATACTATGTTTGAGTCATTTTAGTTGTCAACAAACTCTTGTTGCTTGTAGTGTATTTACACTTCATAAAAATACCGGAACACAAATTGTAGAATCAAAGAATTTATATTTAAAACATACAAATTATTTCACCGTGTCCAAAACTAGTGCTAGAGTATTGAACTTACCTTTGGATTTTTTTCAAAACATTTGTATTACAACCTTGATAATATGTAACACGCTTTCCAATTTATTACTAATCGATACAATAGTTGTATGTAATCCACTTACAAGCACATCTATTTTATCACGGGTTGTCAATCATGATTATATGTCTTTTTCAACTATTGTTATATGTATTATTCGTAGCAGTGAACTAACCATTGACTATCATAACAACCATAAGTTGAATTTATCCACAATCAATATCATAAATAATTTCAGAAAAAAAATATATGAAGATTTGATTTTAGATTCTTTCACACTTTCTATTTCTCTCTGTCTCTCTTAATTTCACTCTCTCTAAAACAAAAGTTAAGAAATCTTTGTTGGTGTTAACTTGGATCTTACAATAAAAAGAGAGGAGAGGAATGAAAAGAAAAAGTGATGGAGAGGATCTAAATCAAATGAGATACCTCGACAGCACTTTTAAATACATAATCCAATACAATCCATTATGACTTGGTAATTGTTGTGTGTGGTTAGATACCTCTTATTAATTTGTCAAGTATAATTGTCGTAACTCAATTATACTTAAAATTTGTCTTAAGGAGAGGATAGGATTAGGAGAAGCATACAATTTTGTACTGTGACTTTTAATCGTTAATTTTTGGACGTATGTCATTAGTAGGGTCCCATTATCTTTAAATTTATTGTAAGGAACTAGGTGCTAAATTAATTCAGCTAGTCCTTTTACAAATTCATGCATCGAGTACCAACCTTGCTGGAAGAATTGATAAAACTTACTCCCTCAAAATAAACATCTAATGAATGAAAGTATAAAATTTTAAGTGCAGGTATAGTACCAGCAAAACTATTTTGTCGCAGGGCTAAGAAATGGAGTTTTTTTTATAGTAATTCAGAAACCATATATTAAATGTAGTTTTTTTAAAAATAATTAATTGTTTTATTTTATTTTAAAAAAAATATTTTTGATTAAAATATAATATATGTATTAATCCTAATGAATGAAATAGTATAATTGATTGTATAGATAAGGTATTGAAGTAAATATAAGAAAAAAGAGGGACAAATTTGAAAGAGTATAAGATACATACAATATTGTGTAACAGCACCGTGTCTGGTCTTTTCCGATAAGCTCGTTCATTGTTTCAATGGCGACTTCAAATCTTTCTCCTTCTTAATCATCCTCTTCTTTTTCTTTCCATCTAAACAAATCACACAATTCTCATATATTATCAAGATAGCTATTAGAGTTAGTTACTTTTTCTGTTAAGTTTTCAACAGTTAGTTACTAGTTTACCCTTTCCATTCTTAGTATATATATTAGTGGATGTACAATACTGGAAATATGAGATAATGCACATACTCTTTACTTTACACGTGGCGTATTCTTTTCCACTACTATGCTATTATCTCAACCTCAATATGGTATCAGAGCAACCTAAGCTCTGATGACCACCGTTCCTTTTTCCTTCGCCACCGTCTCTTCCTCCCTCACCGGCGGTTCCCTTATATCATTTCTCTCCCGGTGACTATTCTGACGGTCTTCTTCTTTCTTCTCCGGCGATTCCTTCTTTTGTTTTCCATTGACGATGGATCATCCGAGCTTCTCCGATTTCGCGACAAACTCTGCTAACCCTTACTATCTTCATCCGAACGAAAGTCCGGCGCTTGTTCTCGTTGCTCCACCATTGGACAACAAGAACTACCACATCTGGTCAAGATCGATGCAAATCGCTCTGATTTCGAAGAACAAAGAGAAATTTGTTGACGGCACATTCCCAAGGCCTCAAGTTGCTGATCCTCTCTATGCACAATGGATTCGCTGCAATACAATGGTTCTTTCTTGGATTCAGCGATCAATTTCAGAATCCATTGCGAAATCTGTGTTATGGATCGACTCTGCAGCAGGCGTTTGGAAGAACCTTCAAATTAGGTTTTCTCAGAGCGACATCTTCAGAATCTCAGATATCCAAGAAGATCTATATCGATTCCGCCAAGGTACTCTTGATGTCTCTGACTATTTTACGCAGTTGAAAGTCTTTTGGGATGAATTGGAGAATTATCGTCCCCTTCCTTTTTGCAAATGTTCAATTGCGTGTTCTTGTGATGCTGTACAATCTGCTCGTGTCCACCGTGAGCAAGATTACGTGATTCGGTTCTTGAAAGGATTGAACGAACGTTTCGCCCACTCCAAATCGCAGATCATGATGATGCAACCTCTTCCGGACATTGACAAGGCCTTCTCGCTAGTGATTCAGCAAGAACGGGAATTGAACTCCGGTACTCCCTTTACCTCCACGGAGAGTCCTTCTACTGAATCTCCTGCCACTGCTCTTCTGGTCAACACCCATACCAATGGCAAAGGAGTGTCTTACGGCAGAGGAAAAGGTCCCTATCCTGCCCTCAAAGGAGGAAATAGGGTTTGCACTCACTGCGGTCGTACGAATCACACGGTAGATACTTGTTTTGTGAAACATGGATATCCTCCGGGCTATAGACAACGCACCAAAACTCATCAAACTAGCCAAAGTCAGTCTCATGTTCAAGCTAACAACACTACACAAGCTGCTGATTCAACTGTAGGATCATCCACATCCACGTTTGGGTTTACTCAGGAGGAACTTCAGAATCTCCGAGCCTTACTTCAACAGTCTCAACCAGCCCCAACAGCCAATGCTATCACTACATCTCCATCTGCCTCAAACTCTCAGTCCCTGCACTATCCTGGTAAGAACCCTAAACTGTGGATTCTAGACACTGGAGCCACTGATCACATAGCCTTTCACTTAGATTCCTTTGCTACTTACCAACCCATTATCCCTATCTCTGTAACCCTACCAAATGGTTCTCATATCATGGCAAACATCTCAGGCACTATAATACTATCCCCAACCCTAACCCTATACAATGTGCTCTATATCCCTCAATTTCATGTCAATCTTGTCTCTATCACAAAATTAACAACTACAAATAAATGCTTTCTAAAATTTTCTTCGACCATGTGTGCCATTTTGCAGAACCATTCGCAGAGAATGATTGGTACAGCTAAATTGCACCAAGGCCTCTATGTGATTGATACAAGTGATGTCTCTCCTTCATGTAATTCTTTAGTTTCCAATTCTTTTGAACTGTGGCATAATAGACTAGGGCATCTTTCCAATACTGGAATGCACTGTATGTCTAAACAATTTCCCTTAATTCCTTGTAATATATATTCACTCTCTTTTTGTTTCTCACCAACCCTAGAACATTCTTCTTTTGTGCACACCTCACTCTTTATCTCTTTCTCCCTCTCTCTCTCTCTCTATATATACTTTACATGTTCAACAACAACAAAAAAAATCTGTAAGTGTTAATCAAACTCCAACTTCTACTTTTAAAAAAAATGTTAACATACTTTTATATATCTTAAAGAAAAAAAAATCATAATTTTTTACTATTAGACAATTTCAGAAATTCAACAATTCCCTGAAAATCAGGCAGTAAATAAGGTCTTATCTCATGTTTTTGTCTTTGAGATATTTTTCTTGTCAATTTTATATTTATGGATTTTTTTTTTGTTGGCTTAATGGGGTTTTGATTGTGATCTGAAAAAGTATGTTTTTTTTTTGTTTTTTTACAATTAATAATAATAATGGAACCTCATTTTATGATGTTTGTTTTGTTTCAATGGAAGCAGTACCTCAACAGATCTGTGAGGTGTTTGAGGGACACAGAGGTTGTTGATTAATCAGCACCAGCAACAACAACAAGTGGGTTTTTTCTTTCATTTCTGTCTTTGTTTATGAGCTTAACACCTGTCAAAAACTCCGACCAAACATTGTTCTAAGTAACCCTTCAACTTTTTTTAATCATTTATGAAATAGTAATGTTTCATTAAAAAAATATGTGAGTTTCAAAACCTTGTAGCTGGGTATATAGTTTGGTTTCTAATGTATATGCTATTCTTAAGGACATGAAAAAAGCAAAAGCTATAAATACTATTAAGGGTTTAGTTTGGTTGAGTTCGGATCAAATACCCTTATTTTGCAGTTTTTTTTTAGCTTAAAAACAAAGCAGAAAGGTTCAGATCTATGATGCAAATATGTATAGGGGTCTATAAGTTTTTCATAAATGATGTAGGTTTTTGAGGCTCTATTCTATGCTAAGTATTGATAAACATATAGAGGTTTTAATTTTATCATAAGCTATGATGAGGTATGAATGATGCTAAACAATAAACATACTCAGATCTTATCTATCTGTTTGTACTATAGATAGTGTGTATTTTAAATTTGTTTTGTTTTTGAAATTGAATGCAAATTAATTGTGTTTGGTTTTGAGTTTTGCAGGAAGTGGTTTGCTTTTGAAAGCGTTTTATTCTGCAAACACTGCAAAAAGCTAAACACGACCCTCCTGACTTGGACCGTGATATATCAGAGAGTGTAAAAAAAGTCCTTTTTATTATCACTACACAGCCAAACAAGTCTCTGAATTTTCATCATCAATGCAAAGGACATATTAGCTAGCTAATAGCTAACCCCACAGACACTCTCTCTCTCTACCTTTAGAGATAGAAAGAAAAAAAAAAAGCCAAGTTGGTTTGTTTTTGCAAAGGCATGATTTTGGTATGGAGGAGGAGGATGAGATTCAAGCACAAAATTCATGTAAATTCCCAAGAGTTGAAAATGAAGAAGAAAATGGGAATTTGAACAGGTACAATAATTGGCACCATCATTCATCAAGAATCATAAGGGTGTCAAGAGCTTCTGGTGGAAAAGATAGGCACAGCAAAGTTATGACTTCAAAGGGTTTAAGAGACAGAAGGGTTAGGCTATCTGTAACAACAGCTATTCAGTTCTATGATCTTCAAGATAGGTTGGGTTATGACCAACCAAGTAAAGCTGTTGAATGGCTTATAAAATCAGCTTCTGATGCAATTTCTGAATTACCTTCACTCAACAACTCGTTATTCACTGATAATAGTAATAATAATAATGATAATAATAATAATAACAATGGTGTTGGTTCACCTCATGATGCTGAAATGGTTGTGGAGAATGGGGAGAATAATAATCATCAAAGTCAGAATCTTTCCTTGTCTAAATCTGGTTGTAGTAGCACTTCTGAGACGAGTAAAGGTTCTGGTTTGTCGCTTTCGAGATCTGATGTTCGTGTGAGCCGGGTTAAGGCTAGGGAAAGAGCGAGAGAAAGAACCGCGAAAGAGAAGGAAAAAGAAAATCATGATTGTTCTCACAACAATGTTAGTAATCCTTTTCATCATCACCAGAATGTTAACTCTTCTTCCATTTCTCAAACAGCTTCCTTCACCGAACTTCTTACCGGTGGAATCAACAATGCAGCAACAAGAAGTCCAAGAGGGTCAGTTGAAGAACCTAATTTCTTCAACAAAGCTCGACGACAACAGCAGCAGCAGCAACAGCAATGGAGTTCTTCTTCAGCACCAATGGATCAGTACTTTAGTCCACTGCTTATAGGAACTCCTTCTTCATCAAGAACGTGTTATCAGTTAGGACATTCACTTCATGATCATCAATCCATGACAATGTCTAACTCAGTTTCACCTTTCAGTAGTGGTGAAAACCATTCTGCAGATCAGAATCAGCATCAGATGCAGCATCAGTTTTCTTTCATACCTGATCATATGATGCAAAACGTGGTTACTTCTTCTTCTACTCAACCAAGTGGCAACAACAATAATGATTATAATCTGAACTTTACGATCTCTTCGGGCCTTGCTGGTTACAATAGGGGGACCCTTCAGTCCAATTCACCGTCTCTTTTGTCTCATCTTCAGAGGTTTTCAGTTTCATCTTTAGACGGATCCAACAATCTACCTTTTTTCATGGCAGGAGGAGGAGGAGCTGGTGCTTCTACTTCTTCTTCTCCTGCTTCTGGTTCACCTGCTCCTACTTCAATGGAGAATAATCCTCATCACCATCACCACCACCAGATTCAACACCATCCATTTTCATCTGTTTTTGATGGTAGCAGCTTACAGCTCTACTCAGATCAGAAAGGAAAACCCAAAAACTGATGACTCTCCATTTTCTTCCTGCAGGTATGTCTTAAAAAAAAAAAAACAATATTTTCTATTTTTTTCCTCCTCTTATTATTGTTATTATTAGTATTACTATTACCCTTTCATTTTGATATTTATTGTGAAATTCTACTAGTAGTACAATATTGTTGTGTTTGTTTTTCTGTTGATGTTGTTGTTTGAGTTTGAGCATATTGCATTGTTTTTTGTTTGATTGATCTCTTTCTTCACCATTGGCAAACATACATGACTTGGGTTTGGTAAACCATGAAGTGATTTGAATGGTTTTGGCTGTTTGTTGTGTGTGTGAGTGGTTTCTACTTTCTAGGTAATGAACAATAAAAATAAAGACAAGTTGTGGATTGGTCATAAAATGATGTATTTAGTGATGTCTTTTTGTTTGATTAGAGATTGATTCTACATAGGTTGGAGTGAATAAGGTAGTTGTAAATCGGCTGGTTGTCTCTCTTATTGGTTCCCTCCTAAATAGCATGTCAGGGTGTAAGTTAATGTGGCATAACACTAACCATGTGTTAGTGACTAGTAGTTAATTTGGGCCAAAATGTAATTCAGAATCCTAATTAATATAATTACTGTGTGCACCCACATGATATGACCCTGGTTTACTCAGGTTCTGCAAGCTAGGAAAATAGGGTTAACTAGGATAACTATAGCACATGGGGTTGATGGGTTTTTCACTATGCCTGAAAGGTCCATGCACGTAGGAAAACAATTCATTTCTGACACTCATCCATGGACAGAAAAACACTCTCTCAAACTAGCTAGTAGCTACCCTATTTAATAGCTAGCCTATACTATTACTTCATTGAAACTGTTTTAATTTGTATTATAGTTCTGAGATCAAAAAGTAATAGAAAGCTAGTTTTCCATTTCATTCTTTATTAGGGACACAAGCAAATTTTTAAACTTTTTTTATAACTTGGTTCTATTGGGAAAGGTAAAAAAATTCAAATATCTACTGCATGGAAATAGTAGTACTAGTACTTGGCAACTAAACATGACATTCTTTCTGTTCAAAAAAGTAAATAAAATGAGATTGTCTTTGTATCAATTTAATGGCTTTTTTTTAAGTAAAAAAAATTCTTTTATGATCATTATTATAAATAAAATTAATTTTTATGGAGATTAAAAAGGCTACTTATAGGTAATTAATTATCTAAATTTTGTATAAAATATAAGTTAAATTTACTAAATCATCTTTGTTGTAATTTAATTAAAAAACTTACTCAACTATTCACATTAAATATTTATAAAATAAAATGAATGGAGTATTAGAAATGCCAGCATTAAAAAACTTGAAAAATAATTTATCTTTACCTCTAAATAATCATCAAAGTTTGAGACTTTTTTTTTCTTATACTAGTTTCGATGAGAAGTTTGCGATTATAAATATTATTGTAAACACATTCTCTTGAGTGTTTATCTCATATGACTCTTTGTTTTGTTCCGTTATAGTGTTCTTGTATAATTTCTTTGTATTTACTAATTTGGCATTTAAAAAGAAGTCAAGAAAATAAAATGCTTCTTATTACATGTGAGGTTATTATCACAAGCAAGTGGCTTTTTTAGAGGAGAGTCACATTTAAAAGAACACTTGAAACGAGGATTCACTTGTTAGAACCAAATAACCCTACGACTAAAAACATTTTGGCGACTATGAGTCTTGTTAAAAGGAGATGCTAAGAGAAAACAATTATCTGTGACTCTAACTCTTTTAGAATATTATGGCAAAAATTAATTCATGTAACTCAAATCCTCCGAAAACAAGTTTGAGATTGACCTAGTAGAAAAACCAAGCAACAATGATTTACTTAAGCATGTGATTTATTTACCCTTATTAGTATTTTGTAATTAATCAAATTCCTCTACTTGAAAAGTTATGCAAATGTGATTATACTATATTTTTCATTCATATTTTAGTTTAAAATCCTTAACTTCACTATTTTTTATTTTTAAAAATATTTGGGAGTCTGTGATGAACTTGAAATATCATTAATTATAAATATTTATAAGTTATAAATTTAGTCAAAAAATGATAAAATTTGATTATTATTTTTTGTGTGTGATATTAAATTGGAATTTTCTAAATTTTTAGTGTACTTGTTATTATTCTCTTTCAAAGTAGACAAATTTAAGCTATTAAGTTTATGAAATTTTAGAAGGTTTTGTTAGATCATGAGAATTTGAATAGTTTAATAAGTAAATGAAATGCGAGGAAAGTAATTTTTGTCAAGTAATTTAGTGACTAACATTTACTCTTTAAAGGTGAACGAGTGACTTGTGGTGGATTTGAATCTATGTAGTTTTGTCCCTCCTTATACAATTATCAATCGAACGGGTTTAATGAGAGTGAAAGTATCTATTTATATCTATGACAATTAAGTTTGAGAGGATAAATTCATCTAAATATATTTATTAAAAGAACAAAGTCTCACAGTTTTATTTTATATTTCATTATTAGTTATGAGGCGTGGGAATAGGTTAAATTGGCCTACAGGGACCTATTACTTAACCTACTTAAAGTCAGGTCAGACCAAACTTATTTAGTAAAAATGTCTGAAATAAATTTTTTTAAAAACCTATTTAATTAAATAGATCAAATTTAGATTATTAAAAAAATCTATAAAATCTTTTATATATATATATATATATATATATATATATATATATATATATATATATATATATATATATATATATATATATATATATATATATATATATATAAAGTAATATAGATTAATTGAAAATCTTATTGAAAAAAGACTTTTACATAAACTTTCACATCAGAGTTTTAAAAAGATCAGATGAAACTAAAAAAACGAGTCTAGGTCAAACTCAATCTTTTTAAATATATCATAGATCAGAGTCAACCTTCTAAAATCTATTCAAACCTAGCCTATTTCCACCCAGTTATCATTCATTCACTCTTATAACAATAGCTTTAGTAATTCATATTCTTATTTTTTTAGTACTATTTTACTTATACTAGGGCTGGAGTGACTTTGCTTGCCACTATACTCGTGCATAGTGCCTTATTTAAAGGAACTAGTTCCTAAGTGGCAGACCACACTTGGTCAAGAAATACTATGATATTTACATAAATAAATCCAAGTTTTTACATATGGAATTTTTTAATTAATTGCAAGCATAAATAAGCATATTGTATTTGCTTAAAGGTTTTACTGTTACATATTACAATTGATAATACAAGTATATGTTACTGATATGAACTCTGTTTTACTGTTTAATTGATGTAGGACTTCAAAAAATAGAGTACTAGCAGCAAGATGTGGTTCCAGTGAAAGCTTGTCTTCACCAAAACATGTTATCAAGTTTTTTTTTTTTTTGTGGGGTCATTTCAAGTCATTCATTTCGGTTCAGTATTGTTGGATATAATTAAATATATTTATTTATGTATGTGTGCAAAGATCATTGTGTTTTGGAGAATTGTAAAAGCTACTTAATTTGACATCTCATTTTACCTTCTGCCATTATTTTTACATTGGTGGAAAAGAGCTGTGTGTGTCCACTGGAAGAAGCTAAATCTAATTCTTATGATAAAAATTATCTGAATTTCATAAACTCTATATACACTGAGAGGGAAAGAAATAATATATTGAAGGTGTGATAAAAGAGAGATAGAGATAATAGTGGATGAAAGTTTTATCCGTAGTACGCAACTTCAATAAAATTTTCTAAAAATAAAAGCTTAGTGAAGATACGCAATTTATGAGTTTTTTAATATTTAAAATTCGATGCCACCTATATATTACTTTAGTAACAACTTTTTTCTGTTCACTACTGTCTTTTGTTTTATTTTTTTAAAAAAATTGTATTTTAAAAAAAATATTCTAAAATTTTTTTTGAAAGTTTTTAAAACATGATGAATTTAAAATATTATAAGTTTTTTTATAAATTAAAAAGCTAATTTTAATATTTTATAACATAAATATAAATTATTGAAATTCAAAAACATAATCAAAATCACAATTTAAAAAAAATGTATTTCAAAAATAATTTTTAAAAAAATTGATTTAAAATAGCTTTAAATCTAAATGATTTTTGAAATTTTAATATATAAAAAATTATACCAAAAAGATGAAAGATTTAAAATAACAATTTAAATCAAGTTTTTTAATTATTTAATATATTTTATAATTTTTTTAACAAAAATGTATTATATTATAAAAATAATTTTGAAAAAAAAACTGAAATAAACGGTGATTATATTAATAAAGATGTGATCAACCTATATTAAGGATGTGTTGGGATTAATGGTAAACATAATTGATTCTAACGAAATTAAATTTGGTAGAATTGATTTTATTATAATTGAGTTTAGTATAATTTATTTATGTTAGGATATATTTATGTAAAAATGAGTTGAATAATATATTTCAATGAAAAAATCATCCTGAATTAATTCTGGAGGCATAAGCTACAAATTCTAACTTCAAGTAGAATCAATTCTTGAGGTAGAATCAATTCTACTTATGGCAAACTAAACATTTCAAAATTCACCAAAAATCAATTCTACATCTCAAAAATTGTTTTTGTTCATTTCAAAAGGCAAACCAAACATGCACTAAGAAGATTCAGTTTGGGAATAAAAAAAGAAAAATTAGGATCTAATAATTTGGTAAAGATGTTGACAAACAGATGTGTTGATCTAACTAGCAGCAGATGGAGCAATTTTTGTTTCACTTATTGCATGTTTGGTTTAGTTTTTGGAAGTATTAAAAACAATTTTAGAAGTGTAGAATTGATTTTGGGTGATTTTAAGATGTTTGGTTATATGAAAGTACAATTGATTCTGTCTCCAGAATTGATTTTACTTGAAGTTAAAATTTGTAGTTTATGTCTCCATAATTGATTCTGAGTGATTTTTACACTGAAATATATTGTTCAACTCACTTTTAGACAAATATATTCAAACATAAATCAATTATGCTAAACTCAATTCTAATAAAATT